CAATTCTTCAGTGAAATAAGCCCATGATTTGATTAAGTATAGTTCAAGGACAACTTAATCTACAATGTAAGTTTCCCAGTTTTGGATGCTAAAAGCATTGTTGTTGAGGATGGACTGTTAGATAATAGCACTCAATTAAATTGGAAGGGAGAAGTATAAATGAGAATTGTGCTCTTTACGCACATGTTGCATCTCCTTACTGGTCATGTTGTTACCATACCAGATCCCTCCTCTCCACAGCAGGGACTTCGCTCCCCTCCTCACCCTGGTCATCGTGCCAGTAGTGGGCCCTCTCCATGGCTGTTTACTCATATCCTTAGGCCAGGTGGCTTCGCCCCAGCCACTCCTCTCTTGAACCCAGCCTTGGGCACCTTTCTCAAGGTGAAGAATATGGGATGGAGTGGGGATTGTCACACTAGCCCTGTTCCTTGAGGTGCTTTCTAATCTTAGCTTTGGGAAGTTCCGAGTTCTTGAATATCTTTTATCTCCATGGTGGGGATACAATGAGGAGGAATTTGGAAGGTCAGGGAATACCATCTCTAGAAGAGTTGCTCTGATCTGAATATTTTATAGAATGTTTTAAAGAAATGCAGCAAATTGTCATCTTTCTGGTTTCAAAGATATTTGAAGAATTTAAGAAATGAAAGTATCTTACAGAAAATGCAGGCAAAGTGATCCTGTCCCAAAGTCCTTCAGGGGTTTGACTGAGGTGGGGGTCCACGAGGACCCAGCGGACAACACAGGTGGCCAGAAGAACAGCCAGAGAGGTTGGATGTAGTGACCCAGAGTGGAGATGGCTCCGGTGGATTTGGAGGTCGAGCTGGCAGGTCCTGTGGTTCACCCATTGGATGTGTATGCGGGGTGTAGGGTAGTAAAGAATAGGACTGGTCAAATTAACACCCAGATTTGTGGCTTAGGGAACTGGAGCTTCCATTCTGTGGTGGAACGAGGTCCCAGGAGAAGCAAACGTACAGACAAATCCCTGCTGCAGATTTAGACATGAGGAGTTTTAGGTGCCTCTGGGGAATCAAGTCTGAGTTTGGAGTTCATGTCAGAGGTACAGACTGGAAGTAAAGATTTGGGAGTCATTGACCTAAACATGAAAAATTCAACCTGGGTGCTCAGGCTTCTAGGGAGTGAAAACAATGGGATCTTGAATACATGATGCAGAAAGTTTAGAGTCAGAATTTGTTATTTACATTAGAGATACCTGTTTTATTGTTATGTTAAAGAGGCTTTAATATACACAGTATATTGGCATTCACTGATTGCAAATTACAGTAGTCATTTATCCATGGAGACTTTACCCTCTCAGCTGTTCTTAACTAGCCTGATGTTTTTAAGGCATTGATCTCCCTCCCACCCTCTAGTTTCCCTTCAGAGTAGCTGCTCTGTGTCCCTGGAAGGTGTCAGGGTCTGTAAGAGACCCAGGAAACAGTGTTCGTATCTTATACTCAGAGTCACAACTTGGCTAAAACAAACCGATGGCACGTGCTAGATGTGCTTGTCCCATCCAGACATGACTTGTTCAGCTGGGCTGAGAGTCCAGATATTGACCTTAGTCCCCTCTGTTACTCCCCAAATCAAATTCTCCTTAGTCTTTGTGGTGTCTGTGAGATGCCTGGCATAGCTGCCTTACTTATAGACCTGGATGCTTTTCATATGACCTTGGGTGGGAGCTGCTGATCTCAGCTCCATTGCACAGATGATGAAGTGACTGGCTGGAGAGGTGGCATGCCTTTTCTGGCTGACTCTCAACTCTGTGATTTATGTCAGTGATCCCCACGGGGCCCACTCATCAGAATCACCAGGGAAGCTTTGGCACACTGTGGCTTCCGAGGCCTCCAATGGTTAATGCAGCTCATTGGGGATGCCCCTCTCCACTCTGGATCTTGGATATATTGGTGGAAAAAATAACGTTAAGGACTTCTTGATGCTCTAGGCCAGAGGTTCTCCAACTTGTTAGGGAAATACTTTCAGCTTTTCACATCTCTGTAGCAGCTGCTTAACTGTCATTGTATTACAAAAGTTGCTGTGAACAATAGGTGAACAAAATGTTGTGGCCAAACTTAGCCCATAAGTCAGTTTGCTTACCCTCATGTAGAATAATAACTGCCATGCATGATAAGACAAGTTATTATCATAGTTTTTGGGAGTCCCCGTCAGGTATTGGGGGTCAAACTCAGGACCTTGTACTTGCCAGGCAGGTGCAGCACCACTGAACTACATCCTTGGCCCAGATGAGACAAGTTATAATACTTGTGACTCTCCAAGGAGTGTTTGGACATCTGTAAAAATATACCACAAGCACGTATGCTCTGTTTAAAATGTATTGGATCACCTGCTAGTGCAAAGATCCTAAAACGGTGGCATGAACGACAGATGACTATTTGTCTTTTGTTCTAAAAGAATCTTGAGTAATTAATCTAATAATTGGTATATGATGCTCATCAGAAACCCAGAGTCCTTCTGTCTTCTTTTATTCACAGGATTATCTTATAATCACAAGATAGCTGGTTGAGGCTCTTGTCATCATCTCTATGTTTGAGAGAGAAAAAGAGCAAAAGGGTACTTGCTAGTTAAGTCAAGTTCTCTCTGAAGAAATTTCTTAGAAAACTTAGTAGGCCCCAGTGATTTTTGCTCATATCTCATTAGCCAATCTTATCTGCAAAGGAGACAGGAAAACTCAGGTTAAAAATTCTGTTTTCTTGTTTGGATTTTTTGGATGAACACATTGCTACCCCAGCAGTTTTGGAGGAAAATGGTTATTGGGTGGGTGACTGGCACTTGCTGTCGCTCAAGAGCGGTATTTTAAATTCCTCCAAGCGCTGCTGGGTTTACTTGCAAACTGATTTCTCACGTGTAACCCAGACTATGGAGATTGTGAAAGTCTGACGTTCAGATGTCCACAGCCAGCCAACCCCTCCAGATGCTTTGGGGTTTAATAAATGCTTCATTATTGTAAATCAGATCCCGGCATGTTTGTGCTATCAGTCCTCATCTACCATTGTTTGGACACTTAGCACCAAGAAACATCTCAAGACACAGTACATGCCTTTGGGCAGCTTTACCTGCTAAAGCTTTTCCCCTCTGAAACTGGCCTTCCACCATCCGCCTGCTGGAGGTCTGTTACCTGAAACCACCCGGCACATGTCATGTTGGTCCTTCTTTCTTTTTCTTTTTTTTTCTGGTACCAGCAATTGAACTCGGGTCCTTGCGCTTGCACAGCAGGCGGCGAAACCGCTGAGCTAAATCCCAGGCCCTGGTCCTTCTTACTTCTAAGTACAGCCTTTCCAGGAATCGAAAGATCTCTGCCCCTTCACCTTTCTCAGGTGTATCATCCCTCAGCATTTTTGATCTATATTATTCTGATAATTTGCAAAACATCTCCTAGGGCCTAGAATAAAGTGTGAATGAGCCACTGGAATTTCTTGTAGAAATGCAGGTTCTGAATCAGTACATCTGGAGTTGAGCCTAAGATTCTCAGCTTCCAGTATCTTCCCACATGATGCTAATGCTGGTGGGTCATGGGCCACACTTCATGTAGCAAGTGAGCTGAGCCTTTCTGGACATATTTCCATTCATCTTTTAATAGTCAGCATCCAAAGTCAAACTAAGTTGGTCTGGTCAATTTAGAATGGAGCCAAATTATCGAGAGTTCATTCTGTGCCTTCTAATGATGCCTGCAATTTCGTGAGCTTTCCGTGGTGGCACACATTGTTTACTTAGACTAAGTTTACTAAAACCCTTAAGCCTATTCCACAGGCCACCACTCTTATGCTGTATTCTCCTGTCTTGAAAAGGTATGACATTGATCTCCGAATTCCATCATACTGGATGAGATTGAGCCCTCCAGCCAGTTTGGATTGCTTGATGTTTATTGTCCCCTGTGTTTACTGTCCCTCTTAGCTCGGGGGCGCCTGTAAACTTGGTAGGGCTTCTGTTTTTCCACCTACCTCTGCTGGAAACTTCTGTCCATTAATTGAAGTTCTTTGGTATAAGCCTTTCTCCCTTCTTGTTCACAGGGATATTGTGAAAGGTTCTTACCACTGTCTTTATATTTGGGGAAGATGGGTGGTTTTCATGTAGAGGCAGAATTTATCTTGCACATTAGAGAGGTCTGTTTTTGTGGTTAAAGGGCCTTTTAGATAGGTATTGAAACTCACTGATTGTAAATTACAATAGCCATTATCACAGGGGATTTTACTCTCTGGGCTGTTCTTGCATGTATTTTTAAAAAATGCATTGATCTCTTTCCCACTTCTCTGTTTTCCCCTGTGACCAGATTGCTGTGTGAACCCAGAGGTGCTAGGGTCCATGAAAAATCCCTCACATCGCTTCTCGGCCTTTTGGCTAAGATCAAGTGTAAAAGTCCCTCACATTTTGTACCCGCAAAGTGTTTTCTCGAGAGTTACAGCTTGGTTAAAATAAAGAGGCTTTATCCCCCACTGTGCTTATCCCATCTGGATGTGAGCCTGTTCTACTGGGTAGATCTCGATTCAGCCCCTTTCCTCATTTCCCAAACTGAATTCTGCCCTGCCCCTGTGGTGTTCTGTGTGATCCCTGGCTCGAGGCCACTTGACCTGGATGTTCCCCCTCTCACCTTGGGAGGCAAGGTGGGGTGTGTTCTCAGCTGCATTGGGCAGAGGCAGGCGGCAGAGAGAGGGAATAGCGCCTCACCAACAACCTGTTAATACAACAATGGGCATGTGACAACAGTATGGAAATAGATCTCTGCTATTAACTGGCCATCAGTCTCTGCTCAGCTTGAGGAAATGATAATGCAGGGTGTCATTCTGGTCACCCGCCTGCCCGGGTCTCTCATGTGCCCATTTGTTCAGTCAGTACCATTGAGCTCCTGTTCCATGCCAGGCATGTGGGATCCAGTGGTGTGTGAGACCAACTTGGCCCTGCTCTACCAGTGTCCTGAAATCCTAGCCCTTTGTGACGAGGGCTTTAGGAGAAGCTTACATTGCCTTTCTTTTTCTTGTTCCCAACAGGTTTATATTCGGATAAAAGATGACGAGTGGAACGTGTATCGGCGGTACACGGAGTTCCGGGGTTTGCACCACAAGCTGCAAAACAAGTACCCTCAAGTGCGGGCCTACAACTTCCCACCCAAAAAGGCTATCGGAAATAAGGTACCACCCTGCACTGCCTTCCAGCCACAGCCTGTACTCAGGCAGATCATTTCTTCTTCTTGCATCTGTTATTTTAAAGTAGCACTCTAAAGAAAAATTGGCCAAAAAATAGAAAAAGGAAATAGTCATCCACAATTTCATCACCTGAAGATATTACCACTATTCTTGTTTGTGAGTTTCTCTGGGACAAGAGTCGGTCAGCTTTTTCTTTAAAGGACCAGAAAGCCGGGAAAGTAATTTTTTTTTTTTGAGACAAGAGTCTCACTATGTAGTTCAGGCTCACCTTGAGCTCACTATGGGCTTGCTTTGTACCCCAGGCTGGCCTCAAACTTGAAGTGATCCTTCTGCCTCAGTTTCCTGAGAGCTAAGATTACATGCGTGTGCCACCGTGCCTGGCTAGAAAGCACATATTTTTGACTTTGTGAAGTACAGTAAGTCCCTGACTTACAAATGAATTCTGTTCCAGCAGAACGTTCATAAGTCGGATTCATTCATAAGTGTAACAAAGTGAGTCTTACACATCTTTGACACACATATACAATCTATATTGCTTTGTGCTTCCTAGCAGTCCCCTCTGTCAGGTAAAAGTGCCGAAGATCAAGACCAGACCAGGCCACAACAAGCCTTTATTAGGGGAATAGATGTGCCGGGCTGTCTCTGAACAAAGGAGAGACAAAAGCAATATGGCTGGGGCAGGGAGAGTCTTTTATAGAGACTGGGGTGGGG